GAACGATCCAGAACACTACTAGGGTGCTCTGGCAGACCCTGGCCTCGATATCACCCACCGCTAAAGGGGTGAAGAAATGTTATTTTGTGCCACAGAAAGGGTATGAACCCCTTTTCACCCACCCCCCACCGGGGACTCTAGTGGTCGATGTGGCAAATCACAAGATGTGGCAGGGCCAGCCAGGCCCTGCTCCAAAGTCACAGGACGCTAAGAAGCTGGACCTTTTCAGCCAAAAGGTTAACTCGACCAGTGGACTCCTGCTTTGAGTGGCCAACCAGCAAGCGATACTCAGCCGCTATGCTTTCAATTCCTGGAGTGCATTAGCAAAGTTTCAGGAATTGCTCCCGGCTGACTTGTGCAAGGAGTTTAATGCACTTCTAGAGGAGGGCAGGGTGGTCTCAAGAACCTCCCTCCAGGTTGCGTTACATGCAGCAGACTCGGTGGCTCGGACTATAGCCACCGCCATTACAATGAGACACAGCGCATGGCTGCAGGTGTTGGGTATACCACCAGAGGTCCAGAACACTATCCAGGACCTGCCCTTTGACTGTGCGGGCTTGTTTGCCCAAAATACGGACTAATCGGTTGCACAGACTTAAGGACTCACGGGTGACTCAAGTCTTTGGGAATCCAAACCCCTGAACCCCAAAGAAAGCCATTTAAGCCTCAGCCCCTGTCCCGCTTCTGTTCCAGGCCCCAAAGGCGAGACTCGTCCAGGAGAGGGGCAGGAATAATAGGAGGCGCCCACCAGTCCTCCTCAGGCCGAGGCCAGGGTACTTCGAAACAGCCCCCTGGCCTGAAGCCAAACTTTTGAAGATGCACCTGAGGACGGAGCACCAGTACTGAGCTCAGATCTTTGTGAATTGACTGCCCACTTCTACCGTGCTTGGTCCCAGATCACATCAGATCACTGGGATCTGAGCACAGTGCACATGGGATATTCTATTAAATTCTGTTCCCTCCCACCCCCCTTCCCTGTACCTCTTCAGGGATCCTTCTCACAAACAACTTCTGCAGGAGGTACAATCACTCCTTGCTCTAGGGGCAATAGAGGAGGTTCCTCAGGAGTTCAGGGGCAAGGGGTTCTACTCCTGCTATTTCCTCATCCCCAAGGCCAAGAGTGGGCACTGGCCAATCCTGGATCTGTGAGACCTCAACACATTCATAAAGAAAGTGAAGTTTTGCATGCTCTCCCTGGCCTCCATCATTCCTTTCCTGGATCCGGGGGATTGCACGCCACCCTCGACTTGAAAGATGTGTACTTTCATATCTCCATTATCCTGGCCCACAATTTCTTCACTTTGCGGTCAGCGGCCAGCACTACCAGTTTAGGATGCTCCTGTTTGGGCTCTCGGCAGCCCCCCGAGTATTCATGAAGTGTATGTGTGTCTCTGGCTCGGGCCACCTTCCTCAGGCTGGGCCTAATATTGAACTTGCCCAAATCCACACTAGCCCCAACACAGAATAGAATTCATAGGACTGACACAAGCCAGGGCGTTCCTGCCTGAGCCGTGCTTCCAAGCACTCAGGGACATCGAGAACCTTCGCCGATTCCCCATGACGACGACCAGAAAATGCATGAAACTGCTGGGGCATATGGCGACTTGCACATACATGGTCCAGTATGCCGGACTGCGCCTTCGGTCTCTCCAGGCATGGTTGGCGCAAGTGCACAGGCACAGCAGAGACCCACTGGACAGATTAGTTACCCTCCCCCCTCACATTCTTGAGTCTTTCTGCTGATGGCTGCGGCCACAAGTGGTCTATGTGGGAATACCCTTTCCCAAACCCCAACCTACGCTATCGCTGGTCACGGACACCTCGGCGCTCAGTTGGGGAGCGCATCTGGGCAATATCAGAACCCAAGGCCTATAGTCCCATGCAGAACTATTGCTGCATATCTATGTAAGGGAGCTGAGGGGGGTTCGTCTGGCATGCCAAGCGTTCCAGGCCTATCTTCAGGGCGCACGTGTGTCGGTGCTGACGGACAACACCACAGCAATGTTCTATATAAACGAACAGGGTGGTGCTTGCTCCTCTCCCCTGTGCCAGGAAGCCCTTGGGGACTTTTGCATCGCCCACTCGATACACCTAGCGGCAGCGTACCTTCTGGGAGTGCAAAACGAGCTAACCAACTGCCTCAGCCGCTTGTTTCACGGTCAAGAATGGTCCCTCAGAGCGGACATTGCGCCCTCAATTTTCCAAAGGTGGGACTTTCCCCACATAGACCTGTTCACGACACAGAGCAACAGGAAGTGCCAGCGGTTCTGCTCCTTTCTGAACCACAGCCCAGGCTCCATCGCAAACACCTTTCACGGACAAGTCACCTGCTGTACGCATTCCCGCCCTTCCCTCTCATACACAAAGTTCTCCTTCAGGCTTGTCGGGACAGGGCTTCCTTGATCCTCATAGTCCTGGGGAGGGCGCGTGGGGGAGACAACAATATTTCCTATCTATCCATTTTCAAATTGGTGGAACAGTAACGGGTATTTGCTAAAGAGCCTGCTGGGTCCTGGAGCACCTCATTAATGACATTACAACCTAAATATTAATATGATTATCACTAATCCATTAAATTTTAAAACTAAACATCCTTTTCATGACTTTTAGCAATCTTAAGCCAGGAAATGGGACTAAAGTTAACAAAAAAAAGTAAAACCTAACAGCTGTTTCAGTCATCTCATTTATGAAAGTAAACTCATTAGTAGGAAATTGGATGATCCTTATTCCCAATTTGATGAAAAGTTGCCTATGAATTGGAAAAAAACCCAAATTTGGTATTTATGTAAGAAATACCATATGCGGCAGATGGAACCATTAGGGAAAAGAGCGTGCATTTCAGTCAGCTGTTTCCCCGCAGAAATGCTTACTACTCTATTCCCTACTATAAAACATGCCAAAACTCAGATTAGATTTTGCTTTTTATCTCCCTCACAGATGCCTTACAATGTGACAATGGTAACTTGGCAAATATTTGTACCAGCATTTCTGAACATCTTTTGGACTGATGGAAAGTCTTCAAATCACACTGTAAACTATAGTACCCAGGTGTTGGTAACGGCAGGTTTGAAGGAAAAAATACATATTTTCTGTCATTTACAGCACTCCTTCCATCACAAATAGCATGACAAAATAGCACCCACGTTATTCCACAATACACAGAAATTTGAGGCCAAATTTGGCTCTGTTATACCTATGAAATTCCTCTGACTGTCATGGAGTTCCACAGCCATAGCTGAGAGCATAATTTAACAGAATATTATGCAAAATGAACATAATACATTAAGCAAAAAATAGCTACTAGTTTCTCCATATGCATTTTCAATAAGGATTGTTATTGCAAAGTTTCCATACATTACAAAGTCTAATACCTATTATTATTTTGTAATGTGAGAATCAATGTTATAGTCACCTGTTTCATAGATACCAAGGTTGAAATCCTGGCACCATGGAAATCAATGGAAGAAATACTACTGACTATAGAGCCAGAATTTCACAAACAGATGTGAGGATCAATGAATACTAATGAAAGCCACAGACTTGACAGCTCTGGTGCCTGAAGTTCTCTATCGACAGTATGGTCAGTTAAAAGAAAAAATTCCTATACTTCATCACCAGTGTACCTGTATCTCAACCCTCACCTGCCTCTGCTGCAGGTAGCTCCAGCCAGGCCTTTTCCTCTGGCTGCTATGGAGGACTTCTTTAGTCCCCTCTAGATACCCTGTAGGATCCTCAAAGATCTTGTTTCCCGGCTGCTCTGCCAGGGAACTAGAGAGTCTCTATTTGTGCAGAGCAGCTGACACTGACCACCTACCCCTCTGAGTCTCTCCCTGAATTCTACAAGCTCAAGGAGCTCAGGCTACCAGTGTCAGGAGATAGACCAAATAAGTACGAGTCAGGGAACAGATGTTTCCCTCCCTCCTAAAGAATGTACCCCCACCATGACAAACAGGCTTAAGTTGTTTGTTGGAGGATGGGGAGGAGAGCAGTTCTTAAGCAACCAACTGATCTAAAATTCCCAACAATGCAAGTGTTTAAAAAATGAGAACTGTGTCTGGAGACTTAAAACTCAGATTTCACCAATCTAATTTGGAAGTAGCAAATAAAGTCATATCAACTTTTGGAGAGACACAGCAAAAGGCTAATTTTGTTTTAAGCACTTTCCTGTTTCTAATGCACCAATTGGAGACAGGACTCAGAGGGCCAGATTTTTAAATATCTTAACCAGTGAGTCACCATTATTTCATAACTTATTGAAACTTTCATCATCTTCACGCAGCTCAATTCCATTATCTTCACCAAAACCTAATAAAGAGCTGTCAGTAGTAGGCTACCCCGTAACATCGATTCACATAAAATGGCTTTTAGAAATGATATCTATTTGACTGTTGGTCCAGCTGATTATCGGTTAAATGAAAATCATTAATACTAGTGTATCAGATTATTAAGTGATATACAAGTAAGAACTGCATGTACTTTTACCCCCTCCTTCCCAAACCAGTATGTTCTGCCTAGTTCCATTTGTAAGATATATTATGAGGTGGCTGATCGTTCACCTTTCTGTTGAACATCCAGGCATATATCAGCCTTGATATACACCTCTACCCCGATATAACATGACCCGATATAACATGAATTCGGATATAACGCGGTAAAGCAGTGCTCCGGGGGGGGGGTGCGAGGGGGAGAGAGGGGCTGCGCACTCCGGTGGATCAAAGCAAGTTCGATATAACACGGTTTCACCTATAACGTGGTAAGATTTTTTGGCTCCCGAGGACAGCGTTATATCGAGGTAGAGGTGTATTAGTATAGATTACAAATCCTCTATACTCCTGAAGCCATACCTGAAAGCAACAGAGGACATAAATAGGCATGTAAACAAACCCATTATATGCTCTTTCCACTAATACTGATCTGCTTTCTCCAAAACTAAGAAAGACTATACTACAGATATCACATGCACAGTAAAAGCCTCAGGGATCATCATACAAGAGTTCTGGTTCTTATAAATAACTTAGTTTATTAAATCAAGTAAAAAAAAAACATTCAGTCATAAAGGGTTGAAAGCAGATTCCCAAATGCAAATTTTCCCCACTTACACTGTTTTTCAGAGTACAATATTTCTATACAGCAAAGGGAGGGAAAAAAAGACAAGGCAGCATTAAGAGAATTTTATTTTTGCTTCCTTAAAAAGACACTTACTTTTTACACTTACTGACTCAATGCTCCGTGCTCAACTTGCTAGGTGTATTTCAAAGTAATATTATTTGATAGAATAATAAATTGAAGAATAAAAAATGCAACTTCTAAAAATAAGAATAAAGAATCTATCCAACTAATATCATATAATATTACTTGACAGTATATAATCAACATTTCATATCCTTGTGATAGGTGTCCCTATCACATCAGATTTTGTGTTCGTTTCTTCTTTGAAACTTTTTTTTAATTACATACTAATTACTCTCAAACTCTTAGATATGAGAAAAGCAAGCTCTTGCTAATTGTAAATAATGAAAACTGTGAACAGCATTTTAATAAGTGCTATTAAAAATAAGGTGTTTTTTTCCCCCCAAACTGCTACAGGAAAATAAAAACTAGCATCTCACCTTTCTGTATAGAGGAAGTTGTTAATCCCTGCACTACAAAAGAGTTACATCATTACTGAATGAGTTTATCAAAACTAGTGGAGAGAGTTCTTTAGGATACTTATAATTTTGACTAGATGCTCCTTCAAACGGTGATGGTCCATCTGCTGAGAAATTAGAGATAAGAAGCAGAAAGATTAGTTTTGCTGCCAAAAAAACTGCCATAAACTTTTCAAAGAAAACTGAGTTCTACAAAATAAAAAGGGGGGAGAAGAAGAGAGGAAATGAAAGATAAAATTTACCTTTTTACCTATCTTCTGCCAAAGTAGTCAGTGCACAAATCTCAGAAGATTATGGTAATCCTAGTACACTAAACAGAGTGTATGAATGTACATAGTGGCTTTTATAAACAATGTTGTCTTTTCACTTGCTTCTCATTCAAATCTGTATAACCAATTTAGTTTGTCTGATATTTTCTGTTAATGTATCACATCCTAATAGTGCACAACTCAAAAGGCTTTTCGAAGTCAGGGCTGGCCAGCACAGGCTTCGCGGACAGGAGTGCTTTTACCTTGTTGAAGCCTTTTTGGCATGCCTCTGACCAAATGACCTTATTAGGTTGATGCTTTTTACATAAGTCCGTGATTGGGGACACAACGTCACTGAACCCCACCACAAACCTCCTGTAATAGTTTGCCAAGCCTATGAAGGATTGGACTTGCCTTTTAGTCTGGGGTACAGGCCATTTCACGATGGCTTCCACCTTAAGAGGGTCGGGGGATATTTTACCCCCCCCTACCCAGTGCCCCAGATAAGGGACTTTGGCTGCCCCTATCTTGCACTTGGAGGGCTTCACAGTTAGCCCAGCCTCTTTGAGCTTTGATAGCACGACTTCCAGGTGCTCTCTGTGGTCACCCCAGGTGTTGCTGAATACAGCAATGTCATCTATATATGCCCTAGCATAATGCTGCAAGCCATTTAACACTCTGTTGACCAGTCTCTGGAAGGTGGCCCCCGCATTTACCAGACCAAAAGGTAACACTGTGAATTCATAGAGCCCTATGTCCGTGATAAAAGCTGATTTTTGTTGCGCCTCTCCCTCCAGAGGGATCTGCCAGTAACCTTTGGTCAGATCAAAGGTACTAAGGTACTTGGCTTGGCTCAGCACATCCAGCATGTCATCAATTCTTGGCATGGGGTATGCATCTGTTACAGTGACAGCATTGAGTTTTCTATAGTCTACACAAAATCTAACGGTGCCATCTCTTTTGGGGACCAAGACCACAGGGGAAGCCCATGCACTGTCGGAATCCTTAATCACCCCCAAGTCCAACATGCTTTGTATCTCAGCCTGAATTTGCTCCTTCACCTTGCCGGTGGCCCTATAAGGCCTGGAAGGAGGAGGTTGAGCCCCTTTCGTGAGGATCCTATGGGACAGCAAGTGCGTCCTCCCTGGTTTGTTGGAAAATACCTCACTGTACTTCTGCAGTGTTGACAATGCTTCCCTCCTTTCGAGTGGTGTCAGCTCACTACAGATTTCTATACTTTCAAGGGACGACCCGTCTTGGCATTCAGCCATCAGATCAGTGAGTGGGTGTGCCTCGGTTTCCCCTTCGACGCAACAGATCATGTTTACCTCGGCCACTCTGCTGTGATAGGCCTTGAGTCTGTTTACGTGTACCAATTGGGGTACCGCACCATCCAGGGGCTTTTTAACTTTATAAGTGTCCTCATTCGCCACTTCCACCACTTCAAAGGGCCCCTCCCAGGAGTTTTGCATCTTGAACTTTTTGGCAGGGCCGAGTACCATGACCAAATCTCCTACATCAAAAGTGCGTTTACAAGTATTTTTATCATACCACGCCTTTTGCTTGGCCTGACTGCTCTGGAGGTTGTTTTGTACAATCTCCATCATGTCCTTCAACTCCCTCCTGAACCTCTGGACATACTCAGTCACAGGTTCCTCCCTTACCGTGTTGCATCCTTCCCAGGTATCCCTGATGAGATCGAGGGGTCCCCTCACTTTCCTCCCATACAGAAGGTCAAATGGAGAAAAGCCTGTGGACTCTTGGGGTACCTCCCTGTAGGCGTACAGCAGGAACGGTAATAGTTCATCCCAACATTGGCCCCTTTTTTTGGCATACATCCCCAGCATGGATTTTAGGGTCCCATTGAATCTTTCCACCAGCCCATTGGCCTGGGGGTGGTAGGGGGCCGTCTTAAGCTGTTTCACTCCACACACCTTCCATAGCTCATTGAACAACTGCGACATAAAGTTTGCCCCCCGATCTGACAAAATTTCCTTAGGGAAGCCCACTCTGCTGAATATGGTGAGCAGAGCTCTTGCCACTGTCTCGGCTTCTATGTTAGACAGTGCAATTGCCTCAGGGTGCCGAGTGGCGAAGTCTACTACCACCAAGATATACTTGTTCCCTCTCCGGGTGGGGCGTGGCATAGGGCCCACTATGTCTATTGCCACTCTTTGGAATGCCTCCTGGATGATGGGCAAGGGACGCAGCGGAGCCTTCTGGGGTTCCCCCGGCTTCTTCCTCTCCTGACACACCGCACAAGTCCTACAATAATCCCTCACATCATTCTGTATCCCTGGCCAGTAGAAATTCCTCCTCAGCCTGTCATATGTTCTCTGTACCCCCAAGTGACCAGCAAAGGGACTGTCATGTGCTACCAGCACTAATTCCCCCCGGTGTTGGCTGGGTACAACCAACTGCTTATAGGGTTGACCGGGACCCTGGTTTTTCCCTACAGGGGCCTGCCTGTACAGTTTCCCGTCCTCTTCAAAAAACTTCTCCCCCCCCTCCCTTCCTGGAGTTCCCTCCGAGATACACTTTCTTATACTTTCAAGGGAGGGGTCCGCCCTTTGTCTAGCTGCAAATTCCTGACAGACAACCCTTGAGATAGCGTCCCTGGGCACTGACTGCATCTCCCCTGCCCCCACCCCTGGGAGCCTGTTGTCCTCAGCCAGACAGAGGCCTGGCTCTGCCTCTCCCATATTTGGAAATACCCCGCCTCCCTGCACTGTTCTGTCAATGAGACCCTCCCCCAACTCCTCTATGGGTTCCAAGGTCCCCGCCCCATCCCTGGGGACTCCCTCTGAGTCACCCACCACCATGTTCCCTGGGGCAGGAGGTGTTGGCTGTTCAGCTGCATCAGACCTACAGTCATCAGCCGGAACAGCCTCCCCCTCACAGCCTTTCTTCATGCTGCGAGTTACCACACTAACAGTCCTAGTTCTGCTGAAAAAATCATTTCCCAGCAACATGTCCGCGGGGATGTCCTCGAGCATCCCCACCAGTAAATCCCTTTCCATACCTTCCCATTCTACATGAACCTTAGCCAGGGGCACAGGGAACCTCTGCGGCCCCACCCCCTTAATGTGGGTCGTCTGCCCCGTCAGAACACTAGCATCTGGGACCGCACTCGGTCGAACCAGAGAGAACTGAGCCGCTGTATCCCTCCATCCCAGACACTCCATGCCATCGATCTTGACAACCTTGATGTGTTCCCTGTCCGCTTCACTGGGCCCCATGTCCACCAAGCTGGTGTGATAAGAGGTGGGGGTGCCCTCTGGGGCCTCAGGGCTGAAGGCAACCGAGCTAACATGGGACAAGGGAGGTTTATTCTCCTTCAATTTGGGACAGCTACTCCTCAGGTGCCCTGGGGAATTGCAGTGAAAGCACCGTCTGGGATCCCCTGCTTGTGCAGGAAATTTGGGACGAGTAACAGGAGAATGGGGGGGTGACTGCCCAGCCTCCTTTTTCCCAGACCCAGGGGTAAAACGGTGATTCTGCTTTCCCCCAACCTTATACCCCTCCACCAGTGGTTTATGCTTGATCGCAGCTTGTGCTTGTTCATAAGAGTCAGCATACTCAGCTAATTCACCCACTGCATTTACCTTTTTGTCCCACAAATACTGTTTTACCTCATCACTGCACATATTCAGGAAGTGTTCCTGAGTAACCAGATCACACATCCCTTCAAAGCTGGTAATGCCTCTCCCCCGCACCCATTTATCTACCAAATCTCTCATTTCATTGGCATAAGCCACATTACTTAATCCAGATCCCCTCTTAAGGTTCCTGAATTTAACCCTGTAGGTTTCAGGTGTAACCTGAAACTGTTTCAAAACCAGTTCCTTAAATTTACCATAGTTTGAAGCATCATCAATAGGCATCTTATTGAATATGTCCAGAGCTCTGCCAGTCAATTTTGCTATCAATGTGGTCATCTTCTGATCTTCAGGGATGGCATGGAGGGTGCACAGTCTCTCAAAGGTGATGAAATATTCTGCGATATCGCTGGACTCGTCATACTGTGGACATAGTCGCTCCCATTTGTGGATTTTTGGGGTAGTGGAGCCAGCAGGGGGAGGGTTTTGTCTCCTCGACTCCATAACAGTCAGTTCATGTTTCTGGGCCTCCCTCTGGGCCTCCATAGCCCTCTCCTGGGCAGCTGCCTCTGCCTCCGCCCTCGCTGCCGCCGCTCGCTCCCTCGCTGCCTCCACCTCCATAGCTCTCTTGTGGGCAGCTGCCTCTGCCTCCATAGCTCTCTTGTGGGCAGCCTCTTCCCTTGCATGTTCTGCCTCCCTGGCACTAATTTCTAATTGTCTTAGTTCCAACTGTCTCTTATGTTCATTTTCTTTCTCTTTTGCTACCAGCCTGGCCAGCTTTAGTTTATTAGCAGCGTCACTAGTACTCATTGTCCTGCTTTCTTGTGCTGGGCTACAATCCCTCTGCAGTTCACTGAAACTGAGGTCACTAGTACTCATTTTCCTGCCTTACTTATTTTGCTTCCTTTTCTGTCCCTACTTCCCTTGCCCGAAATAAGCAAACAGAAAATAACAAACCAGTAACCACTTTGTCTGTTCTCCAGCCACCACACTTAAAACTCACTTAAAATCTCTACCAGTATCTCAAAGCAATCAGCTGTGCACAGACCCTGCTCGACTACGCCACTGTGACGGGTTGGATCACAGAAACCCCCTCGGGAGCTGCCACCCGATGTGCCAAGACTACCCCTGCTTCTGTTTTCCCTGCCAGTTCAGGACTCCAGCACCCCGTCTTGCTGAGTCAGACACTCCTGTCTGGCTCTAACACAGACCAAGGGTCTGAATCACTTGTCCCAAAGCTGCAAGGTTACCCAAAAACAGCTCACAGGTGTGTGCTTGTCTTTAGCACTCAGATGCCCAACTCCCAATGGGGTCTAAACCCAGATAAATCCGTTTTACCCTGCATAAAGCTTATGCAGGGCAAACTCATAAATTGTTCGCCCTCTATAACACTGATAGAGAGATATGCACAGCTGTTTGCTCCCCCAGGTATTAATACATACTCTGAGTAAATTACTAAATAAAAAGTGATTTTATTAAATACAGACAGTAGGATGTAAGTGGTTCCAAGTAGTAACAGACAGAACAAAGTAAGTCACAAGCAAAATAAAATAAAATGCGCAAATCTATGCCTAATCAAACTAAATACAGATAAGTTCCTCACCAGTTCCAGAATGCTCCCTTTCACAGGCTAATCTCCCTTTAGCCTGGGTCCAGCAATCTCTCACAACCCCTGTAGCTACTGTCTTTTGTTTCGGTTTCCTTCAAGCATCCAGGGGGGGTGGAGAGGCTCCTTCTTTAGCCAGCTGAAGACCAAATGGAGGGGTCTCTCCCAGGGTTAAATAGACTCTCTCTTGTGGGAGGAGACCCCCCTCCTCCCTCCTATGCAAAGTCCAGCTCCAAAATGGAGTTCTGGAGTCACCTGGGCAAGTCACATGTCCCTGCATGACTCAGTCTTTACAGGCTGAAGCCATTGCCCACATGGAATCTTGCATGTCTCCAGGAAGACTTCTTATGTGGATTGGAGCATTCCAAGATGCATTGTTCCCTGATCAGGTACTTAACCTGGCGAATTCCTTCCTAAAGAAGCTGACCAAATGCCTCCCAAAGCTTACTTAGAAACCAAGCAAGCATACAGCCCATATTCTTAACCTCAAGTAGAAAATGATATATATATGTACAAATAGGATGAATAGATATAGTAGACCATAACCTTTACGGAGATATGTTACCTGGCACAGGCAGCACAAAACGTATTCCAGTTATGTCATACATACATTTATAAGCACCCCCTCCCCATAAAGCCTTATGGGGTACGCTGTCACAGTATCACATCCTAATAGTCATGCAATATATCTGGGCTTGAAAAGTTAACCTCAGAAGTCCTCACCAAAACACTTTAAAAGAAGAAAATGGACATACAATAGGCCTAATCCTCCTTGCTGATTGAAAACCCCTTTACAATATTTTTTGGGGGAAAATCCCTTCTCTCAATTTAGTTTTATTTTACTGTTATACTGAAACTATATCTGAAAAGACCCCTTGGGTTTTGTTTTTTATTTTGTTTTTCTCCAGTTGGTGCACTAGAAACAGGACACTGATAGCAAGAATGAGCAGTTCTGTAAGTCATCAATTAAGCTGATTGTTTTAGTAGGCATACTGTACTGTTTATTTTTATATAAATTTGGTGTTAACTACTACTTCAGAACAGTATATCTCAGACAGCCTGTGCAAATGCTGTATTTTGGATCACAACAAAATAATGTTTTAAAGTTTAATTTATTTTTTTAAACAAAAAAATGTAGATGACAGGAAAACTTTCCCACTGAATATCAGTTTTAAAATAAGAGACACTACCTATTTATATACATACTTAGAACTATAAGTCATCACTGGCATTCTATTCTGTATTCTAATGTACGGTATTCATACTTCTTTCCTAAAAAGTTTGGTAGTACTTTGCAGAAAACTTAAGTGCTTCTACAATATTCTTATACTAACTGTACATTACAGTATAAGAAATTAAGAGTCATAATGAACATACCGATCTTTTGCTCCTTGAACTCAACAGAACTTCCAGCTTGAATTTCAGCTCTGCCATTCATAGTTTCCCCATAGCAAAAATTCCAAGAGTTCAAAATAGAGATCTCAATAGTGAAAACAAGTGAAATAGTTTCTAAATTTAGAAATTACTACTAGAACAAACGAAGGACATTATAGTAACTGACTCCAGAACTATTGTTTGGCATATGCTGCAACACAAGATAAAGAACAGAAGCTTTAGTATTAAATTTCTCACCACATTTTCTCTTGGCTAAACTAGTTACTAAACACATGTACAGTTGTCAGAAAAATTTGCCTAAATAATTTTTTAGACTGTAAAGGACAGAGAAATTATGGATGATAAAGTTTTTAAAATGTTCTCACCTCAGATAAGTCTTGTTGTACGCTCTCCAAAAGGTCTGCATACCATCTCCAATTGGCCTCAAAGGGTGACTATGTTACCCTTTAGAAGATAATAATAGCATATTTTTTTCACCATACTACAAACAGACTTAGATTTAAAACCTATCAAGTCACTTAGCAGAGTACGGTAGAGGTTAACACTATGTTTTATAAAATATGTATATAAAAGAAAATAAAACAAAACATGCATGAAAAGCTTTACTTAATAGTAAAGATCATGGCCAAAATGACTAATGTTTAATAAACCCATGCCCCAATATGCAACACTGAATATTAAATATAGTATAAATATTCTGATTTCTCAAGAATAAAACGTGAAAGGTAAATATTAGCTTTCAGGAAAAGTTAAGTACATTGAGAACCAGAATTGCTATGAACCAGCTATAAATTTACTAATAAAATATTGTACTTCAAGAATTTTGATATTGATTTACTGGAAGCCAGGTGTAAAGTGGGAAATACCCACCTATTTTTGCACTCTCATACCTCAATTTATTGCTTTCTTCATATATTACATTTTGCTTGCAGGCTTTGGACCCAGTGAAGGGTTTGCTTAAGTTAAAAAGCCCCACCTGCACCAAACTGCTAAAAAATATTTAATTTAACCCTCAGCACAAAAGAACACAGCACGTTTTAAGGATTAAAATAATTTACAGACTGTGATCATCCTTGAAGTTAAACAGCACTGTTTCAAAATATTACAATTACATCTATAATTTCAACAGCAACAAGCAACACAAAATTACAGGTTTCACTATTTTGAAATCTATTTTTTTTTTCACATTAACAAAGTTAAATTAACTGTTAGGGTGATTATACAGCGATCCATACGTTTAACAGCATGAACAATTATGATTTTTAACAATACTGTGTGTTAGCATAGTTTGAAGTAACTGACATTTTAATTTGATTTTATGCTGTAGGTAATGCAAATGCATACACCAGTTGTACTATACAATTGGTCAAGTGTTCAGTTACACACTTTGTTCAGAAATTACAGTTACTTACACAACTGGACATTTAAACAATGAGGTCAAGCTGTGTATAAAGAACAATTATCATAAAATTAAAAACAGTTCACAGTTGTTTTTTAAGTTCATTCATGAACTACTGACACTTTTCGAAATTAACATTCACAAATTTCTGTTTAACCATTACATTTAGTGTATCAGGTAACTAGAGCCCTGCGTGGATACAAAAGGTGTATCCGCATCCAATCCGCAAAAATTGTCTGTGGATATCCGTGGATTTGCAGGGCTCTAAACAGCTCCACAGGTCACTGCGCAGCAAGGACACAGGGCTGTGTCAAGTCCCAACCCTCAACCACCCCCCACTCCCTGACTTCTCCCCAGAGACCTCCTGCCCTGTCCCCTGCTCCGCCCTTGCCGTACCTCCTTCCCCACTCCTGGCAGGGAGGTTACAATTCTGGGCCCTTCTATGCAGCACCGCCCTTCCCGTGGGGGGCTCGGACGCCCCTATGCAGTTGCGGAGGCTCTAATGCACACAGCTATTACCGCCTGCTCATTTAAAGAACAACCACACCTTCAAAATGGCGCTTGGCTTACTCCCTTCTGGGAGTTGTAGTCCCTAGCTTGCTTGGAGGGAGGAGGTAAACTACAACTCCCAGAACGCTCAGCCCGCTGCTGCGTGATTTAGAACGCGGAGGTGGAGCCTGCAGGCTGGGTGACAGCCTCTCCGTTCTGGTGAGTGTGTGCTGCAGACCCCTGTGCGGATACAAAATTTGTATCCGCATCCGAGCTGCGAGCAGCAAAAATGGTCTGTGGATATCCGTGGATAGAAAGCAGATTCCCGCGGATGTGCAGGGCTCTACAGGTAACACTTCAAAATGTAGTACAGTATACTCTTCCCAAATATTAAGCAGTTGGCTGCATTTACTGTTATAAAATTTGTAAGTGATTTCAAACCCTTAAAAAGAGTTCAAGTTTATGCACACAAAATCATAGCATTAAAACAAATTCACGTTCTACACTAAAAAAAGCTGCACACAACTGTCAAAAGCAATCAGAGTTCTGTATATTAAATGAAGGCTTGACCTATTGTAACAGACGTGTTTTTCCTTTTACGTTTAGTGTGCAGGAGTCAGTGTCCATAAAGCCTAGGCTTAAAAAGGATATGCTTGAAAAAAGTCCAAGGAGTCACAGATTTTTTTTTAATATATGGCATTTGCCAACTGGTGTATGAGGGCTGCTGGAAAATATTAGTTGTCTAAGTTCAATTAATATTCTTTGCCATCTTTAACGTTTTATAGGCAGTTCTTAGTCCAGCCATTTCAAATGGTTTTAAGATAACAAGAAAGCGCCCTGCTATACAATTTAAAGAATAAGCCTCTTTAATAGTGTCTGCCACCTGGCGGTCCAGGCCATCTCTGGCCCCGTCCAGGTGGCAGAGGGGATGGTACATCGGGTCCATTGGGAAAGCTGTGTAAAAGGATAAAATCATAATTGTTTTTTCCCCTCAAGATAACTGCTTTAAAATAACAAAAGAGTTACAACACTACATTACAATTTGGATTTAAACTTATTTTGTTCTTAGCAATCTCATGCATGCTGTCTTCCACAGCAGTTAAAATTACTACAACAATGGAATCTGAAACGTTTACATAGCATACGGCCCTAGATTTTAATACTTGCAAGAGACAGCTTTAAAATTACTGTAATTTTAGGTTTCAAATAAAATTAATTTTAAAAAGACAAAACAAGGAAACATTCTTACCTTCTTGGCGGAGGGAATCGACCTCTTGGCATCTGCAGCGTCCCTCTGGCTCTGGGGTGGGGTGGCCTGCCTCTGAAGCCCATTGGTCCTGGTGGTGGTGGAGGAAGTCCATGTCTGCACAGACAAGTCCAATCAAACAATCTCATATTGCCTCAAAAAAAAAAAACCACAAAAACCACACTCTGGGTTTCTTCCTATGTGAACCAATTTCTCACTTAGAGAAACAGGACTACAGCACTACACATCCATCGTTTTTAAACAAACACCTTTCTATCAATGTTATCCAAACTAACCTTGGTGGTGGATGTGAGAAAGGATCTCTCATCATTCCTCTCATGGGTGGGGGTGATAAAAAAGGTGGCCCCCCCTCTGCCTCCTCTTCGGCCTCGGGAGTCAGGATATGGACGCATTCTTCCTATCCCATGTCTGGAAAGACACTTGTTTTCAGTACAGATCTGAAAGTTAAGTTGTATTTATTTCATTGTACAGTTATAATGATGCAATAATATAAAGTGAAGACTGTAAAAACCCATAGTAGGGACTGCTCCTGGAACTATTAAGAAGGGATGAATAAATTGTCTAACATTATTCAAAAGATGTATGTCTACTGCCGAGCTGCAAGAAAAAACATGACTACTTACTAATACTATACAGCGTTTACTAAAATTAGAGATGGATGGAATGTCAAATGAATATAATGAAAATAAAGAGGTTTTTTTATAGAAATCTTTAAACAATCAGCTATTTGCAAGGAGTCTCTCGCCAGCTTCTTACCATCTTGTTCAAGGAAAGTTACATGTAATGTTACCTGTTTTCTATGCAGTGATTCTTTATTGGGCTACTGAAATTAAGTGTTTGTAGTTTTTTAAATTTGTTTTTTCTTTTGTTAAAGCAACATATGGTTGAATAGGTTACTGGTACCAATTTCTGCTTCTCATTTTGGGGTGACATTTACTAACCCTTTTTGCTTGGTGTTTCTATAGGTTATAGTGGCCAGCAATTATAAGTGTTCTTTTTTCATGCAAGTCTAGTTCACTAGTGCTTACATACTATATGCTATAGAAAACTGTAAGATAAATTCATTATAGCTCTCCTTTCCTACTTTCAAAAGATTTTGTGTTAAGCATAACTTTACAACCATGTAGAGAAATTTACATAGCTTGGTTCCATAAGGAAGAATTGTTTAGAGTAAATTTGTCTATGGAAGTAAATGAGAAGCAATGGCCTATGCTTCATATTCTTCATAGTGATATTATGATATGATTATGGCATAACTATTATGTATTTTATGCGATAGGTCATGTAAGATATCATTGAAAACATTATGATTCACTGAATACGATTATCCTATTTGTATACATGTATCATTTTGGTATCTGAAATTAGGAATATTGTCTATGCATTTTTGCAAATGTGTTTACACCTGGGGAACGCCCACTAGACAGAATGCAACCAGTCTAGAAGGCTGGCTGGAAATGGCCATTAGGGAAAACAACAGGTCTTAGAAGATGCTAATCTCCCACTGGGGAGCCTTCCTGAGGACGCTACAAACAGCCTCTGAGTCATGGCTGCTGTGTCCCTACAGGGGCATGTGACCAAGTCACCTGGTACTGGACTCCATCTTGGAATACCAGTGTTTTTCCACTGACCGGGCGTGGAAACAAAGAGGGGAGACAAAGGATTCCCGCCATATGCAAAAGCTATTTAAGGCAGGGGAGTGACATCATCATGGTTCTTCACTGACTTCCTGCCCAAGAAGATTGCTGGAAACACCTGTGAAACAAAGACTGGACTAGGGGAGAAGGGCTGAACCCAGGCTAGAGGGATTTCTAGCCTGTGTAAGGAATACCTGGAGTTTTAAGCTGCAAGCAAGTGCAGCTTCCTCTCAAGAATCTCTGCAAACTGCCTAAAACAACAATTAGGGTGATAATTTGCTAGTCATATCCAATCTCTTTAGTATATTAAGCTTAGATTGCGTTTTGTTTATTTGCTAGGTAATCTGCTTTGATCTGTTTGCTATCCCTTATAATCACTTAAAATCTATCTTTTGTAGTTAATAAACTTGTTTTTGTTTTGTCTAAAACCAGTGTGTGGAAATCATAACGGGGGGACAGAAAGCTGTTGCATATCTTCCTCCACATTGAAAGGGGGCAAATTTCATGAGCTTACGCTGTACAGTTCCCTGTGCAGCCCAAGACAGTATAATTTTGGGTTTCCACTCCAGAAGGGGTGTGTGCCTTAGCTGAGCCTTCCCATGCAGAGCTAATCTCAGCATGTGTGTGTAG